ATATAGAGTGTGAGGCAGAGAGAGAGAGAGAGAGAGAGAGAGAGAGAGAGAGAGAGAGAGAAAGTGAGTGGAAGGGAGAGAGAGAGAAAGGGAGCGAAAGACTGGCATATTAAGAGATATATAAGGGGATAACGATTGATGGAAGAAATAGATTGAGAAATAGATATACAGAAAAAGGGTGAGAGATTGACAGATAGAGAGAGAGAGAGAGAGAGAGAGAGAGAAAGAGAGAGAGACAGAAAGGGAGAGAGAGAGGGAGAGAAATATTACGATTTTTAGATTTTGATATTTAGATAAGGAAGAGAGATTGACAGAGATTAGAGGGAGAGAGAGATTGATATATATTAACGGCGAATAGGACGTTGCTGAAAGGTGTATTCCAACTATTTCTTTAAAAAATTTTATATATATAAATGTATGTATATGTAATACATTTCGGCAACTATCTATTTGAAATGAATACATATTTCAGCTAAGATTCGGGTACACAAAATTATATTCAAACGAACAAAGAGATAGACGAAACCAATATGCTCGTTTCCTCTGCTGAACGAGCATGCGAACAGCTTGGAGCAACAACAAAAAGCTCCGGCAGCCGCTGCAGCAGCAGCAACAGCAATAACAACACAGCAACAACAACACGGCAACAACAACACGTATACCATGAAGACGTCCGCATGGCAAACGAAACCACGTAATGAAAATCGGAACACTAAATAATAAACTCAACAAAAGCCAAGTCGAACGAGCGCGACTGATTGGGAGAGCGTGAGCGCAGAGAGAGAGAGAGAAAGACAGAGAGACAAGGCTAAAGCGTAATGACAGAGCGAAGAGTGGAAATAGATATTGAAGAGCTCAAAGCAACAAGAACGACAACAACAACAACGAGTACCGCTAGGTCGCGCTCGTCATTTAGTTGGCCCGCTGAGCAAGCCAGCAGCGATCTCTTGTTTATCTTTATCTCCATTACGGTATCTATTACGAGTGCATTTGAGTCTCGTTTGCGACGCATGTTTTGAGTGTGTCCATTTGAGGTTATGTTTGAGCTCAACACTGAAGCTATTTAAAGGCGAAAACAATAACAAAGAGTATAAAACAAATCATTTAGCAAATAAGTTGGTATTGTACTAGGCCATTTAAATGCAAATAGCCCAATGAATATTCACCGAATTGTGCAATAAAATTGAACAAGAGTAAATCAAGCAGATGAAATATAATTCAATTATATTTGTGGTTTAATAACTCTTTTTCATAGATTAGGTTTTCTAGAAGTTCTTGTTCAGCCACTCGATTCTCCATTGGCCCAGTTCTAGTCAGCAAAAATGATTTTGGTGTTGGTCGAAAACAGAAACCGTTAACTGCTGTTAAAATGGCAGTGATTACGAGGTTAAATTTATTATATATAACAGTATATTGTTTTTCAACCACATTCTGCAAACGCTTGAATTTTCACTTTGAAGCGCAATTCTTGTTTATTTAATTCAGGTCAATGATATATATGTGGACATAAATATATGTATGTATATATATATTTGTTTTCTAGAGAATATGAGAAAGGGAGCAAAGTCAGGGATTGCACTGAAGACAATGTGCTAATAGTATAAGCCTCTAAACGCAATTTTTAGCATTAATTAACATTATTATAATTAAGTAATCAATGCCATAAAATGTTAAAAAAACAACTCTAAAATATATTTCAAATTTGGTTACTAGACCAATTTTGATAGTATGTTAACATTTATTTCTTAAGGTTGTTATTGAAGTGTTGAAACTGTTATTTGGGGCCTTCAGCATAAAAGTATTTATTGCATTTCCGGACATTCAATGCCCAATAGCTTTTTCTTGGATATAGTCTTGAAATACCATTATGTCTCATATTGTGCTGACAAATCTATTTTTAGAGGAGAGCCAAGTTGGTTGTTTGTCTTTTAGTTGGGCCCAATTGCAAGTGACCTGAAAAAGAAGAGGAAAAAAGACGAAACCCACATGGCTACGAGTTTCGAGTTTGGTTGGGTGTATTATGATCTTTGTGGTCTACGCGACAAAAGAGATGCCTCAAATAAAATTTTACAGTAATTTTTAGTGTCACGCAAAAGATAGAAAGTGGGTGGCTGTCCAGTGTGTAGGTGGGTGTAGGCCCCATGTGTGTGAGTGTAAACTGAAAGTGTTTGTCTCCGACACAAGTTGAGTAAGCTCGTATTGTCTGTAACATGTGATATAAGACAACATGAGATAGATCTTAAAAGCAACACATATATTATACATATTTGAGTCTAAAGATGATGTATAGATACATCCCAAACCGGTTAAACATAAAATTGAATTCCCGCAATTGTTTGTCATCTAAGATTCAATCCCATAAAGACCTCTGATCTGTTCAGAGATAAAAACTTTCCATTGCTGCTCGAAATTAAATAATAATTTCTATCGCCTTCACTTATACTTGATTAGCCCCTCTAATCCGAATGTTGGAACTGATGACTGTTTCGTAGAGTTCGTTTTCAGCTTTGTTGTTAACGCTGTTGCTCTACACGTGTCGAATTCTTACCATACATATATGGCAATTATTATTACAACTCGTTTCTAATTAGCATAATTTGTTATGATTGCAACTTAAGTGGAATTTTATTGTAGTTTACACATTTAGAATCGTATACAAAGTATTTATAAGTACACAAAGTATATTTATTTTCTTCCACTTCCACTTCGGATGTGACTTACATTTCTGAGCTCATTGAGAATCGTAGAGAGACGCTCAAACCTGAAACTGTCTTCGTTGCTTTCTCATTTGTATGAGATCCCATTCACACTCATCCACATCCTGCTTTTATCTGATTTCTAATTGGTAGGTCTTTCCAATCGGGCCTTCCTCAGAATTTGAGAATCGCAAAGGAAGGTGCAAGTGTGACCAGCTTTCCACAGATATATTAAGCTGATACGAAACCAATTTAAAGACAGTTAATTTCTCTATCAGTCTCACCTACTTCCTGCCCTTCTCTTCCACTCTCTCTCTTTCTCTCTCTCTCTCTCTCTCTTCTCTGACAGATAGCTGTTTAAATGGGCCATAACAAATCACCTATTAGCCATATAATTTACATTTATATTGTAAATAGATTTGAGTGGCCATTTCGAAAATGCATTTCAATTCAACGTCCAACGGTAGAGACTTAATCATGGTTCAATCGAATTTCCACCTAGTCACCCGGCATTTTCCCTTCTCCTCTCGCCCCCTCTGGTGTCTCGCCTGATGTTGGTTAACAGCTTTTGCTAACTTGTGACTGAGACCAACTTTTGCCGCGTCACGTCTCCAAGTGGAGCTCTTGCACTTGGAACTGCTGCACACACACACACACACGTGCCTATGCACACACATGCTCATATGTACTCAGAGCAGAGGGCTCGTGTCATTATGGCAGACGAAGTCACACAAGGTGCATGAATAATGAGTTTAGTTTTTGTTATTTGCTTAACTAATTTAAAGTCGCTTAGCTGCAAGTTCAAAGAGCTAATTATCAATTTACCGATGATTATTTAAGTGAATTAATGTGTTTTTAAAATGTATAATCATAAAATATTATTAATCATAAGTTACATGAAAATTGGTGTGTAATACAAAAATATTAATTTTTTTTTTTTTTAATATTTGTATTTAAATTCAAAATTTTGTAAATATATTTTAAATAAATTATATATTTGATTAAATTGATTGATTTTCTAGTAAAGCTTGGTTATTAAATAATTTATATATTAAATCTCATAATATTTTAAGATCACAGATTTTAGTGCTCTAAATTATTGTTTGTTTTAAATTAAATTAAATTTCCCAAAATTCCAGTTATTCTTCTATAAAAAATATTCTATAAAAAAACAAATATATATGTATAATTCATAATAATTTTTTAATTTTAGTATTTTATAATTTTCATACATTCACAAACCAACCTAATTTTATAGAGTATTCGAAATGCGCCTTGGGGAAATCATGATTATGCTGTTTGCTTTTGTTTTAACTAAATGGAAATTGATTATTATGCGTGGTGGACCATAATCGTGGTGAGGCTTGAAAAGTTGGGGCGATGACAATGCACTTATCATTGCATGGAATGCGACCTTCGGGATTGTCCAAATAGCATTCGAGTAGTCGAAGGCCTCTCTGTCGACTTCGGAGCAGATTAATTGAAATTGATGACAGATTCAAGATATCTTAATGCACACACAATAATTGAATTTGAATATGAGATTTTTCGATTCGAGTTTCGAATTTGAATTTGTCTATTTAACGGGCGGATATGGCAACGCCAGTCGCAGGGCTTTGGCCGGCAGATGGCAGCCCTGGCAACGTTGACAAATTTGAAACTCAGCATGCGCCAAAAGTTTCTGTAACGTTGAGATATATCGAACAAAAAGTCGTGCGCAAAACAAAATTTATTTTGCTCTCGTCGCGTAGAAGTTTTGTATTCTCTTTTGTCGGGTCGCTGAAAAACGCATGCGCTGACAGCAACAACGGCAACTAGAACAACAGCAACATCAACAGCAGCAAAAAGCAGCAGCAACAACAACAACAACAACAACGATAACAACAGCTCGAAAGTTTATTTCATTCAATAGGAAAGCCCCCACCGAAGGTGGTGGAATAATCAGGCGAAGGGAGCGCGAATCGGAAGCGACGGACACTGCGCAAACCACGAGCCAACGGGCCAAAAAAAGTAAAGTAGAATCAAGAGAAGAAGCAGAAGCAACAACAATAACAACAACAGCAAGAGAGTGTGTTGAAGGGTGTATTGGGCTTGTTGTTGTAAAACAAACTCACCACCAGGGCGCAAAAGGAGGGTGGGAGTTGCCCTTACTAAGTGAGCGCACGTGTGCGTTGGTGTTGGTGTACGAGTGTGCGTTCGTGTGTCTGTCTCTGTCTGTGTCTCTGTCTGTGTGTGTGCGCGCAGCCGCCAGCCCCCGTAAATTTGCTTGGTGAAATTTTTCGCTGCTGGCGGCCCGGTTTTGCGGCCCAGCAGCAGTTGCCCAGTCGCCCAGTTGCCTGTCGCCAGTCGCTCTAGTCGCATTTCGAGCTGTGCTGCTCAAGTGCCACAGAAAAGATAGAAAAAATACAAAAAAACAATTAATTGCCAAAAAAAAATCTTAAACTGTAGCAACGAGCTAAACCAACAACAACAAGAAACACGCGCCATCTACAACATTCCCACGATCCCCCCACATAACTGGGCAGGGCGCTGTTATTTTTCTCAAATTCTCAAACGCGTGTCGCGTGTGTAATCTCTCTGTGTGAGTGTGTGTGTGTGCCTCTCCCTCTATCTCTCTCGCTATCTGTCTCTTGCTCTTGTATTTGAGCAACAAAATATATATAGGCTGTAAGAAACAAGTGAATGCTCCTCCAACACCACCAACACCAATTGCAACAGCAACAACAACGACAACAACGACAACAACAACAACAACAACAATCAGTCGATTCCATTCAGTTCAGCTCAGCTCAGTTCAGTTCAGCGCCAGGCAGCAGGCAGCATCCAGCAGTGACGATTCCAACCTCACTTTTGTGCCGGTATGTACAACGCCCCCCCTTAGCCCCTAGCCACTAGCCCCTAGCCCCTAGCTTACTGCCCACTATCCCCAACCTCTCAGTTTTCATTATCTAAAATCGTATATGGTATTTTTAGTGTTTAATTATGAAGAAATTCCCCGTTTGTTGTCAAATATGTTGCCAGCTAAAGCTTACAGCAGGCATTTATTTTTAGAGCCTCGAGACGACACCTTTGCAGCACGCCCCACACACATGCATACACACACACACACACACACACTCTCACAAAAAGAGCGAACGTGAATGAGTTTTGGGGGGTAGCGCACGAGTTTTCTTACTGAGGCAATCGGAATGTATGTCGCTGGGTTTATTATCTCATCGCTATTGGAAACGGCGGCGGTCGTAAAAAATTTAGCGCAAAATCTGTCAGTTCCGTTGCTTGCTTCCGCAAACAGCAGCCAGGGAGAGAAAGGCTCTCACTGAGTGAGAGCGGAATGAGAGAGAGTGTGTGTCAAAGAGAATGAGCGTAAATTATGAATAAGAAGAGCAACAAAAGCAGCAGCAGCAGCAGCAGCAGCAGCAGCTTCTTTGGCCAGCAGTGCCAACAGTGTTGCCGTGCGTCGCATTTTGAGCCCAACGACAAAAAGTATGTGACACAAATATAAAACCAGACTAAATCAAATTATGTGACTACTTATTTGAAAGCAGCGCGCTAAATGAAACTCTGTGGCTTTGATATATTCGAACACAAAATAATACCACTTAATGCTCCAATTAGTTTATCTGCTGCGATTAGATATGTGCAGGCGATAGCGATTCAATCAATAGATATCACATGAGTCAATATATTATATAACACTGACAATGTTATGTTTCTTTTTTTTTTTTTTTTTTTTGGGTAGCCACCCTTGCGACGCGCACAAAAGCCGGCAGCGAAAGGCGAAAGGCGAATTGGGAGCAGTGCAAAAGGCAGTAGAAACTTAGTAGTAAATGGGCACAGCTGCGCGAGAGCGACTCTTCGTGGGGGTGTCAGTGTTTGTGTGTGTGTGTGTTGGCGTGTGTCTGTGTTGGTGAGAGCAGGCGCGTGAAAAATCTTACAAAGCAAAGGAGCAATACAAAAGCAAAAAAACAGGCATTTTCCCAATTGATTTTCAAGGCGGCCGACGTGGTGCACAAAAAAAAAAGAAAATAATGAAACAACTACTACTAAAATATATATAGAATAATATACAAGTGCTGCAGTGCCATAATTAGGAATTTATTGCGAAATTAAAGCTAAAGAAAAAGTGGCAAAAACATACAAAAATATTTGGCAGTTATTTAAGAACTGTTACGTGTGAAAATGCGTGCGAAAATGCGTGAAAAATGCTTGGCAAGCCCTGACAGCACCAACAGCACCAACAGCAGCGGCGGCGGCAGCAGCGCCAGCGACAGCGACTCATAGCCTATTGCATAAAGATGTGTGTGAGTACGTGTGTGTAGAGTAGCGTCTTCTGGCCACCCCAAGCACCCCACTAACCAGCCCCCAGCTCCACGCAGCGACTCTGCGACCCAGCGACCGCATGACAGCCCAAAAAGTATGCTAACAAAAAATGTGAACGCAATGAGAGTTGCGATTGCTCTTATTGATTTGTGTGTGTTGCTTAGTGTTGGTGTTGTTATTTGTTAGTTGTTGTTAGTTGTTGTTGTCACTGTTGTTGCTATTGTTTAACTGATTTGACATTAAATTGCAATCGGTTTCATCAGCAGCAGCAGCAGCAGTGTCACAGGCAGAGGCAGAGGCAGAGGCAGCGGCAGAGGCGATAACATTTCAAGTGCATTATGTCATTTTTCTCGTTTTGTTGTCCACCTGCCTGTGTCCCAGTCTATGGCTGTATACATATATCTATAAGTGTGTGTGTGGTTTGAGTGTTTGCCATTTCGCCAGTCGAGGACGAGGACACAGCGCTCGTTGTCTGTCAACAGGGCGCCATTTAATGCCGTAACTTTGTGTAATTAAAAAAAAAGAACAAGCAACAAGGCGGGTATCACATACACCAACACACACACACATAGTAGCTCGAGTGTATATATATGACACACACAAAAAAGAAGAAGAAAAAAACAAAATTGTAATTTCCGCCCCAGCAACTAACTGAAACTGATGTTCGAGCTAAAATTGAAATTTCCGCTGATGTTATTTGAGCTGCGAGGCGTCAGCATAATGATTTAAACGACTTGACCACACTCCATCCATATAACTGAGTAGGTGTGCGTGTGTGTGAGTGTGCGTGTGTGGCCGTTGAAATATGGCTTGTGCGGCAACGCTTGACGCTTGGGTGATTCTGGGTTAAAAGGGTCACAGCATGTGGGAGCAAGTGCCGCATTTTATATGCGACTGACAATACACATTCAATTGACAGCACACACACTCGTACACACACATATATAGAGAGTAAGAAGAGCTGGTGACAGCTGGAGTGTGGGTACAGAGAGACAACAATTTAGTGGCTCGGCCTACTTCCGGTTTGATTGGAATTTATGCCTAAAAGTAGGCAACGCTTGTTGGCCGCCTGGCAACTGCGCAAGATTTCGCACACTGAGCGAAATCAGCTGTCAGTCTGCTCTGCGCTGCTCGTTCTTGGCAACACACCCAGACGCAGCGTGGGTCAGCCAATTGGCTAGGCAAACTTAACGCTTGCCGGCAATATCCGTTTTATTTTGGTGTTGTTGTTGTTGTTTTTCATTTTTAGCCATAACCTGTGTGCTCATTCAATTATCAAGTCAAATATTAACGCAAAAAGATTCGCAGTCCGGTTTTAGCACGTGTCCGCCTAGCCGTCAGACCGTCAGGCCGTCAAGCCGTCAGTCCGGCCCAGCCCACGGACCAGCCCATAACCGGTACGGCTCGTCAGCCCAATTTCAGTGTCCTTCAATGAGTGTTTAACTGCGTCTCGAGTTGCGTGTAATTCATGTTTTTGAGGTGTGCCTTGCACTGGGCTTTCAGTTTCTTTTTTTTTGTTTTTGTTGTTCGCAGTATTTGTTATTGTTTGACAAATCAATGGAGAGCTCAACGTTCAAGAATCCTCAGTGCATCCGCCCGAGTGCTGTTGACAAATAAGCTATGCAATTGTAGGCCGTCAATTGCTTTCGAGGGCAGCAAAACAAAAACTGACAGCTTCTGCTAAATACGTAAATGTGCCAGAGTGCAGTTGTCGATTATTATTGCCTTAATATTTAAGATTATTTACCTTTTTATGAGGTCAGCGATGACCGAATTACAATAAGTGTACACAGCCTTTACAAATGGACTGCGAGTGGGCAGAGACCTCAGTAAATACTAGCTGTAATATGTACGATATGCATACATACTGAGACTCTTAAGTAAATTGCCAGATTATAAAAATATATAAATAAACACTACTTAGCCTTAAGGTTCTCTTTTTAATGAAACACTACCATAAATTTTAGTCATATATAGTCAAAGTATATATATGTATATATAATTTAATTTTTGTATATGACTATAATATGTATTATAGATGTTTGCAGCTCTACGTTAATTGCTTTCCATCTAATCAATTAGCAAATAGTCTATGAATTAGTTGTCTCATTCTTATTAGCATATTAACATCTTAGTATGTTAAGTTTTTGCTATAGCCCTAATATTAATTATTATTTATGGAATTTTTAAATATATGTCTTATCTTATCGATGCTTGGTTTTATATATACCCTGGAGTAATTGCAAACCCGAAATTAGGGTATAATGTGTGTGTGTGTGACCCCAGAAGCTAAATGAGTTACTTACATGAAATATATCTTATTAAGGATAATAATTATTTGAATTTAATATATTTGACACCGACTCCAAACTTGAATAAATCCTCATGTGAAGGTGAATTGAAATATAGCCATTATTATTATTATTTTTTTTTTAAATTATTAATTGAATATGTGAAGCGGAAAGTTAAGTGAACAGAAATTGTTAAGAAAACAAAAAGTTCGGCCAATTAATATTCGCGCGTGGCAGGGAACCTTCAAGACTCATTATCGAATTATTATTTCGAATTATATTTATGTCTTTTTTGTCCAATTTTTATTTATCTTATATTTGGGATATCAGTTCCAAATTAATTCGATAAATTACCTACTTTGATCAAGTGTAGCTTGTAGACTTCAAGAGGTAGGTGTCTGAAATTTACTGTGAAATTAATACATAAATTTGGGAATTATCAGATTTTAGATACCTCGCCCCTTGCACCCAAATGAGCCAAAAATGTTTTTCATATACTACAGATTTGCGATTTTTTAATAATACCTTTCTAGAAGTGTGTAGAAAAGTCCATCCTCATAAAAGTTATTCTCAGCCCGGATTGAAGTCTGCGTTAACTGCGCAGTTGGCAGAGCGCGTGCCTCTGTATGTGTGTGTGTGTGTATGTGTTGTTTCTTGTGCAAACAGAAGTGAAGTGAAGCATATTTCGAATATCAGTTTTTCATAGGGTCGAGGGAATCTCGTAGTCGAGCCGACTTGAATAGAGCCCTTTGACTTGTTAATATTACAATTTAGCCACAATTAATTTTTCACACAAATTGCAGGCTCCTTGACGACAATTATTATTGCAAATATAGTTGTTATTACATATTACTCATTTCTAAGTTTGCAGTTCAGTTCCATCATCACTGCTCTTTGTATTAAATTACATTGTCATGTCATGAACATAGTTAATAAGGCGTAATTATCATGCAGGCATTGCGATAATTAAGCCCCTTACTTCTATTAAAGATTCAAATCACATCTGCTGCCACTTTTACCAAAACTTTTTAAATTTATAATTTCAGTAAGAATTTATTATCGTATCATAATATTTTATATATTCATACTATCTATACATACATTGATGTTTACCACTATACTATCGTTACTTACTGTTTAATACAATTCATACTATTCAAACTATTTCATACTATGCCCACTAGTCAGACTTTTGTATACTAATCATCCTATTTTATACTTTTCATACCATCTATACTATATTATTC